CCCCGGACCCCCCTAGACAAACCTCGCACCTGCGGCACAAGGCTCGTGCCTTCGGCCCTCGTTTATCAAGTGTAACATTATAGGGGCGCATATTGGTTGACAGCCCACTGGCCCCTCCAGAAAAATAGTACCCAGCACGCCACTGAAGAAAAGCATGACACCCTCAGTGAAATGGTCCGATCTTAATTCTTAGATTTAAACATGGCATCTCAAATATTAGACGCCATTTGAAGATTGAGAAGAATATAAGCAATCATAGGCAAGCGTCTTTAATATAGGTGTATCTGTTTTGTAGGGATAAGACGTTTCTATAAGTTTGAATAAAATACTTTGGCCTGCAAGGCAGTAACGAGAATCGGTCAGGTTTTATATCACAAGTTTTTTGAAGAATTTTTTTGTTCCATAATAGTGTTGAATATCACAAGAAGACAATGCTCTCAACGACAAGGACAGGCGCGTATGTTGATCAGACTACTCATCAAGTGTTATTAAATGGATTTTGTCACATTAAAAAATACAAGGAAGAAACAGTGAAGAAAATAATAGCTACCATCTGTGCCATGCTGAATGGCAGTGGGGGAAAAGTTGTGATGAATATTGATGTTTATAACAATGATATCTCTGCGTCCCAAAGGTCATCGGTGCTTCGTATAGTCGAACAACATTTGATGACTATCATCGGAACAAATATAACCGAATATGTTAATTTTGAAGAAGATAAAAAAACCGTAACCATTTTCGTCGGAAAAGCTGATTCGTTAATCACAAATGAATATCATCTATATTTGCCCAGTCTAACACAAGTTTTCCAAGTGCCTCCATCGCAACCACAAGAAAAAGTCAGAGACGACATTGTCAACAGAAAACCTGTGAGTATCCATGAACCAGTTCAACTTGAATCACACATGAAAATGTTTTTTAAAGGTGAAAATTGTGGTCTTTCGGAGACAAAAACTGTTCAGCTTAAGAAGGTAAAAGCAGATGCATCAAATCGTACGAGATTAGCTGATCGTATGACTTGTAAAGGTAATAAATTTAGTTGCTATGTTTCTGCTTTTGCTAATTATAACGGAGGTCACATCTACTTCGGTATTGATGATGATGGGATTGTTTCGGGAGAGTTCGTTCCAAATGAAGTGGACCAAATCGAAATAACAAAGAAAGTTGAAAAATCCATCAACAAAATGATTTGGCCTCAGTATCCCAAACCTCCCAAACGGAAGGTACACTGGGAAATTTTCTTTGAGCCAGTGCTTGACGAAAACTCCACGCCTATCCCATCAACATTTGTGATCGTGATCTATATTGCTGCTTGTCTGGGTGGTGTGTTCACTGAGAAACCAGAATGTTATGAAATGGTGGAGGGGAAAGTTGTGAAGATGTCGTACACCACTTGGATGAAGAGAATGCAGCCTATCGAATTATTTCATCTACCCATAACTCATTCGACCGTCAAACGAAACACGAAGGATTCATCTAGGATTCAAAGGATTTGCAGCTGCGCAGATGAACTATTAGTAGCAACAATCAATAACGGAAAATCCATCGAGACCATTTCAAAGAAACTGGTGAAGAAAAATCCTGATCTGGTTGAATTGCGATTGCTAATTTTGGCGAAGAAGGTGATGGCGAGTTATCGTTCATTTTCTTTTAAAGTTGCAAGAGACTTGTTAGAAGAATACGAAAAGTCTTTAAGGACGGCAACCGATCGCGAACTCTCGATGTTTGATGCCATACATATATATTTAGAAACTGCGATATGTTTTGCTCAAAGAGATGTTGAAGCTGCAAACAGTATCTTGCCCAAGGCTTTAGTTCAAGCAAAAGCTATAAAACCCGGTCGAATCTCGGCTGCCTTATATTTGCTTGTTGCAATGAATTATCTTCAACTGAAAGGCGATGATGACAATTCTCCGGTTATATTTTCAACTCTAGCACTTGAGGATTTGAAACTTGTCCAGGATTTACCCAAAATACGAGCGGACATGGAGCAAAAAGCTCACATTTTATTAGCTTTGTTTTACCTGGGCTGCAACAGATTTGGAGTGCCAATCAAGAAAGTCCTAGACCGAAAGTGCTTTGAAAAAGCTGATTCCAGCATAATGGCGGTGCATGAATCGATCAACGACGGAAATCTAATGAATCCATATCGCGAGCTTCAATTTAGCTTGGTGCTGTCAATACAATTTTATCGAAAGTCCCAACTCCAACCCGACAGAAAAAAGTCATTCCTGAAAGCAGCCTTCGAAACTGCCAAGAAAGCTGAAACATCTGCGATTGCCTGCAATTTCCAGGATATGGTGAACTGGTCTAAGGATTGTATGGCTTTATTCACTGAGTGCTTAGTACGCACAAATATACAAGCGCCCTGCTCGTAACTGCTGATGAACACATTCCAATCACATACGTTTAACGTTTTCTACTTCTGAAGATGCAACTTCGTCTACAGTTAAACCGTTTTCAACAAATTAATGTTTTTTTCGATTGGGAAAAATTCATGATTAATATCGATCCAGAGATAGTCAGTAGACTTTTTTCTATGACATGTATTCAAGTTGTGAAACAATTAACTGATACATCCCACCGGGCACACGACGTTGTTTCAACGTTGAAATTTGGTAGAAAAAAGGTTGCGACGCCGACAACCTAATATCTACGTTGCTCTGACGTTGTTTTAAAAACATTGGTTCAACAGCAGCTAACAGACGTTGAATCAACGTTCATTCATGGTTAAATGAACGATGTCGATTTGTGAAGTAATCTCAACGTTGTTTCAATGTTGATTCAACGTTGAATTATGGTTGACGAGATTGGCAACCTAATTTCAACGTTGTTTCAACGTCGAAACAGTAACGTCGATCCAATTTGCATTATCAATCCTTTTTCAACGTCTATCCAACGTCTGGAAAGTCATTTCCAACGTTAATTCAACGTTGAATAAACGTCATTTTTCCCGCTGGGAAGCGCCCTGCTCGTAACTGTTGATGAACACATTCAAATCACATACGTTTAACGTTTTCTACTTCTGAAGGTGCAACTTCGTCTACAGTTAAACTGTTTTCAACAAATGTTTTTTCGATTGGGAAAAATTCATGATTAATATCGATCCAGAAATACTCAGTAAAGTTTTTTCTATGACATGTGTTCAAGTTGTGAAACAATTAACTGATACATCCTTTTCAATTTTCAGAAAATGGAGTTACACTCCGAAACGTACAGTAATTATTAAAATAATTTTTTACTAAGCCTATATCAGTATATATATGGTCTAATTACCATGCAAGCATGCACGTAGATATACATTTACATTTTGCTGGCAGGCAAATTCCGATCACACAATAAATTCTTTAAAATAATATATAAAATTGATAAAGCAAAAAAACTGAAATACATGCCACATGGAATTTCGTATCATTTTTTCATTCCAGTACAGTATAAGTATCAATACATTTGAGTTTATTTGAGGTTGACCAACTTGACCGCCCCCCGTCAGATTCGAAATACTCTGAACTTTATGTAAATTACATGAAATTTAGTAAACAACATTATATAATAACTACAGGCTATCCTGCACGAGGAATTAAAATGCTCTCGCGGGATTTTCGCGGGATTCTCAAAATGTCATTGTTTCACTGTAGTTATTTTATAAAACAATTACCAAATGGTTTCCAAGCAGGATAGCGTGATCCATGCATGCACTTGGGATGTTGCTCGACTTTCGGAAAGCGTAAAAATACACTCGTCTGCGGCTCGAGTACTTTTACGCTTTCCGAAAGTCTCGCAACATCCCTCGTGCATGGATCACACAATCCTGCACGGAAAACCATTCGGTATTCCTTTAGTCTATCATCTTTCAATCTTGATAGTCTAACTAATCAGAAATGTCTTGAGGCTGCATGTAGAACAAGGCAGAACCGAATTGAAAAATTCTTATTGCCACAGTGGAGTTTTGTTAGAATATAGTAAGCCTACAGGTATACATATTTTTCACACTTTATAACAATGAAAATATATACGTTTGTATTTTATGTAGTACGAGTTATAATCTACCCGTATTGTACATAGCAGAAAATTTAAAACATATGTGTAAAAATTATGATCAGGTATATTATGCAAATTCAGCAATTAAAATATTTCAGTCTGCATGTGAAACACCATTGTACTTTGTGTGAATGATATTTACATATAGTTATTGAGAGGTAATCACACTGCAAATGTCTACATACTTTTATAAAAAGTTTTCAGAAAGTTTGACCAAAGGAAATATATATATGTTATTTACCGGATTGGAGGTCCGTATGGAGAAATATTTCTCGAGGTCTTAAAAACGGCCCGAGGCCGAAGGCCGAGGGACGTTTTTAAGACCGAGAGAAATATTTCTCTATACGGACCGACCATACCGGTAAATAATATTTTTATTTTTTTTTAATTCCCCTCTCATAAATTCATAATTTCATATTCCCCCAAATAAAACGTCGTTTCTATCAATGCTAGGAAGAGTAATATCTTCTGTGGAATAGTAAAATTCACTTTCACTGTGTTCTTCATCGTCTGCAGACATTTTAATGTTAAAAAGCAGCCTTAAATAAGCGCGTCTTTAAATTTTCAAAAATAAAAACATTGCCTCTATCGAGTTTAAATCTGGCGCGGTCCGTACGGGCTCATACGGACCGCTCGCGTAGCCAATCAGATTGCAGAAAAGCGTAAAATATGATTTTGGACCGCAAGAAAAAAAATAAATTTAAATATTTCTGCGAGCAAGAATTGATTTAAACATATAGATTTTTTAAGACGGCACCGTACAGTTGTTGAAACAACAAAAGCGACAGTTAGACTATTTATGAAAAATATGGTTCTTTCTGGAACAACTCATGTGTGGCTACGGTAACAATGTATCAAATATATTGTCTAAACGGAAGCAGGAACATTTCAAATTTTGCAATAAACGAAATTATTATTATTTTAGCAGTCAGATAATTTTGTAGTTTACACATGATGTAAGTGTGAATTTTACAATTGTGCAAATGGTGCAAATGAGGAATTTTTGTGTTCGAGTTTTATTTATAAATTAGCATGAACAAATGTCCCCTCAGAATGCGCGAAATAGCATATCCGAGTACTGGTTGAATACCCTAGACCTATATGTACATTTGTGATCATGTGAACACAGAAATATCCTTCCATTTTTCCTTCAAAATTTTTATCAAAATTGAATCGCGATTCCCAGCAAGCATTTCGGTAAGCACCCTCAATCACCCTAAGATTACAGGAACAGGTAGACAAAGCTTGTTAATAGATAAATCCTTCAATTGCAACATATTACATGAATATGTAGTTTTTTATAATCTTTCTAATGCTGCAAGTTATTTTTTCTATAGAGTTTAATAGGAAAATCGAAGAAAATGCGTTGGCAGGAGCCCGCAAGAAATTTAAACGCCGCCGAGTCGCGCCGACATACATTCAATAGAAATATATGTATTTACTAGCCTTAAAGGCACAAGATCAAGACAAAATAAAATCCCCCTCCTGATTTGGTGAGTTTTTATTCATTTTTAAATTTTAATCCATTATCTGCCTGACTACTATAATTCGGAAGTAGAAAACAAGCTTTGTTTCATTATATTATGGAAACACACCATGGCTACAAAACATACCTAAAATAATTTGAATAATTCTTCTTCATGACGTCACCAATAACCTCGACTAACGCATTTTCATTGGCTAACCTCAGCCAATCATCATCGGGATTGACTTGGCCAACCGTTGTATTAAACACTCCGAGATATACCGCATTATCCACACAAATCCCAGTGTCACACTACAATTCTGCCGTATCCTCAATAGTACTTCGAAATTTTTTCCCAAACCAGCAAATGTTTTTCATAGTTTTCCTCTGAGGGCAAAACCTTGCTGGAATTTCGCTAGGCCTCCCAAGATACGTATTTATAAATTCACATTCGCTTTCGTTTAATCTGTTTGTTCGACAAGTAGTGATATTTTTTTCGTCTTTACTTTCTGCTCGAATTACACTCAAATACGGACAGACCTTTTCAGAAGGAAACTTAAATCGACTTCCGAGGTCTGCTCGGCGTAGTTTATCAAATTCTTGAAGGTTTTCATGGTAGTTTAGCGTTTTAGATAGTGTGCCGCCATTTTTATTTTTCGCTTTTGAATTTTCCCGCGCTTTCTGTGTACTCTCAAAATGTTCAATCTTCGTTTTTGAGTCACTAAATGTTTCAAAATCATACCGAGTCGCTCGTTCCTTCATTTTTGGCTGTCGGGCAGCAATTCCATTTCCAAATTCTGTCATTTTACAAACATTCCTTTGATAGTTCTTGACTTCACATTTCTGAAGATGGACGGCTTTGTAGACGTGTCTTTTAGCATTACTTGGGTTTTCATCAATGTTATGTTGAAGGTCTGTTTACAACAATATTAGAGAGTTTGAGCAAGACAACCAAGTACGAAGACGTACCTTACAATTTTTGCCTGCCTGCAAATTATTTTGCACGTACAGTGTTTGGGGTCACTGGTGGTCGTTCAACGTCTCCATTAATCAGTGGCGGAAATCTCGGGAATTTGACAATTTTTTTGAAATCTTGACCTAAAAGAGGGCAAAAACAACCTTTCGAGTGCAAATGGG